CCATGGCTTCCAATATTCCGTCCTCTGTTTATTGTTTAATTCTTGAGGTGTGTGCCTCACCCAATTTGATGACCAGGGGATGACTACTACAAATGAAATAGGTTTCAGAGTAGCAGCCGTGTTAGTCTGTATTTGCAAAAAGAAAAGGAGTACTTGTGGCACCTGAGAGACTAACAAATTTATTTGAGCATAAACTTTCGTGAGCTACAGCTCACTTCAGACTGAATGCATCCGGTGAAGTGAGCTGTAGCTCACGAAAGCTTATGCTCAGATAAATTTGTTAGTCTCTAAGGTGCCGCAAGCACTCCTTTTCTTTTTACAAATGAAATACTGAAGGAAACTCCAGTGAGCTCGTTGTTCTCTAGTTCAGGCATTTCCAAACATTTTCATAGGGTAGTTCACTTCCTAATAACAGAGATTGTCTCATAGTCCATTTTCCTTCCAATTTACACATACTCCAATTATTTACATAGAAAAAGGGCTGTTATGAAAGCATTTAATAGATTTTAATTATTTTAAAATGCAATTTAGCAGCTGGAAACAAAGATGATGAGCCAGCACCATTTAACAAACCATCTCTCCACAGACTACCAGCAATTGCTCCAATGACTACAGTGTGGGAACTTCTGCTTTAGTTCCTACCCAGGAAGGGGTTTGAAGATTTTTGAAGGAATGGTCAAAAGTGTCCCCATGTTGTCCTTGTTTAGAGTTTTTTATTTGCAGCTAAATTTATTTTCAGGTTTGTAACAGGCTGTCATTGTTTGTCTGAAACACCTCTTAGCAGATGATTTTACTGTGAAAGGATTAAGTGGGTCTGTTGACTCACTGAGGTGGGGATCTCATTACTGCACCTTTGAAGTGACTTTCTTGGGAGTGTGTGGTCTGAGCAGCCCTGAGGGAAGAACTCTACAAGCAGCTAAACCTGATAGAAGGAGCAAGCTAATCTTATAGTATTTTATTGTTGCTTTCTTTGTTAATAAAGTCAAACATCAGAAGAAGAATGAATTTGGACTTTACAATGTGAGCTGAGCTCATAGCACAGATTTGGAAAGGTTCCTGTTTGCAGTTATTTGTTATGCTGTTTCACGGGTAACATCTTGTAGGATTCTCTGCCCATGCTCAGTCCCCTCAGAGTTGGGAGATTAGCGTTTGAGTTGTGTTCACACTTTGGTTTTTCATTTTTTCTCTGAGGCACATGTTTTGATCTTAAATTGATCGTTTGAATTGAGATTTTTTTTCCTCCTGGGAGCTTCACCTTCCACTCAGTCAAAGGGACAGACTGGAATATTCAGAAAGCAGCATTTATACACAGCAAGGGGCGGTTTGCAATAACTGCCTTGCTATCATAGCCCTCAAAGGTCATAAAACCTTAAGAACTAGGAAAGGTCTGCCAATCTCACACTAAGCCAGGAGTAAAAAGAAAAGGAGTATCTGTGGCACTTTAGAGACTAACAGATTTATTAGAGCATAAGCTTTTGTGAGCTACAGCTCACTTCATCGGTGCCACAAGTACTCCTTTTCTTTTTACAGATACAGGCTAACACGGCTGCTACTCTGTAAGCCAGGAGTGAGAATCCTGCAAGATACCTTCTAAGAAGCAGAACTTCACAATAATTTTCTCTGTCTGCTGTAGGTGATGTAATAAAAAAGCAGTGGTTTGACCAGTGACAAAGGTAGTTTTATGAAAAACTGATGCAATGATAAGAATAAATAAATAATTAGCTTTCCTATAACAGTTTTCGTCTGAGCATCTCAAAGCACTTTACAAAGATGAGTAAGTATCATTATACCCATCTTATACATGTTCTCTACTGGTAATTGTATTGTCTGGTAGTTGTACTTCCCATAACGGTTCAACTCAAAATCAAAATTTCCTGCTTCTACATGGTTGCAGTGTACCATTTCACAGTGGGCCGTAGGGTTTTTTTTATCTTTAACATTGTGACTCATAGCATTTCTGCATATTTGACCATGAGGAAGAGAGATGTGCCACTAAAGTATTCCTGGGTTACCCTCCTAGATAACGTGCAGCCACACTGATATTTGTATCTTGTAAAATGAAGTCTGTGGTTCGAAAAGGCAATACAAGAAATGCCAATTTTATTTTTCACTGAACAAGCATCTGACTGTGCACACCATGTAACTGTAGTTTGTAAGTCTTTATAGACAATACCCATTTTTCTAATGGAACATTAAGTGAAACATAGGAACATAGTTATGCATAAAAAGACATACACTTTTAAATTGAGTCAGTATAACCAATGTTAATACAAAAGGAAAAGGAGTACTTGTGGCACCTTAGAGACTAACCAATTTATTTGAGCATGAGCTTTCGTGAGCTACAGCTCACTTCATCGGATGCATACCGTGGAAACTACAGAAGACATTATATACACACAGAGACCATGATGTTTCTGCAGTTTATAATGTCTTCTGCAGTTTCCACGGTATGCATCCGATGAAGTGAGCTGTAGCTCACGAAAGCTCATGCTCAAATAAATTGGTTAGTCTCTAAGGTGCCACAAGTACTCCTTTTCTTTTTGCGAATACAGACTAACACGGCTGTTACTGTATTAACATTGGTTTCAGAGTATCACGTTCCTAGTCTTTCATAGTTATAGATACAAAATTAATTAATTAAGTAATGGATATTTTTCAAGTGGCTTTTCCCATTTTATTTTGACTATACAAGATACATACATAGAATAATTGAAGAATGCAAGAATTGCACGTCATGGAACATCTATTCCGCAGTATACTGTAACAGAGCATTTTTCCAGATAGTCCGATCTAATAGAGATGAATGTTTGCTGGGCAGTGCATTGGATTTTGAGATGTGAAATAAAGTCTTTAACTTGTAGAAAACAAAAGGTTTGAATTTTTGTTTTCTGCCAATGCTGGTGGAAGTTAAAACAACTTATTGCTATTACATCGATACTATCCCAACAAAATTATTTATATTGTGACAAAGCTGAGTACCTTCCTCCCATGCACCATGTTCCACAATGACTGTCCTTGACCACCAGCAGAAAATGAATTTGATTTCTCTAATGCAAAAGATAATTGGATTTTTCTTTATTGAATGCATCCCTTTAATGACTGTCTTTGCTTCTGCCAATTTAGCTGCAAGTGACCTGACATTGATCTGATGATAAGACTTAAAATAAATGCTGAAGCTAAGAGATGAAAAAGACCAGCTGTCTGATATCAGAATGAACATTTCCTGCTTCATCTTGCCATTTTCCTCAGCAAATGTCACTTACTTGATTGCCATTCTTATAAAACATGCTGCTGTAATAACTGGTCACACAGCTGCAGATTGTTTCCTTCTAGCAAATATAAGTATTTCCCAGAAAGTACTCTGGAGAAAACATTTTGAAAATTGAATAAAACCCATTTGGTAATCATCTGTTTCCTTGCAAATATTTATTACTGTACAGAATCTTTCTGGAACTGGAAAAGTATTTCTGAATGAAATTAATTAAATCTTTAGAGGGCCTTTTAAGCATTAAATATGTATCCAAATATTTATTTAGTTAACCTTGGGAGTCTTATTAACATGGGTGCTTGGAGAAAGGAATTACCAAAGGAAAACCATTGGAAATGGTAGTATTTCAGGATACAATCGATTCTTCAAGCTAAGATTGATAGAACCCTGGAACCCCGGATATGCTTAAAGTTTTCATCATCATTTAGGACTCAGTTCTGCAATGTGTTGAACACCTTCACCCCCTGAGGGCTGAGAACCCTCATATGTGGCTTCGATTTAAACATAGGCTTTTTGTTCCCTTCAATAAACACTGTAAAATGTCTTTGAATGAAAGTACTAATTCACATGCTAGCTGATTAAATTAAAAGACCCAAACCAAAACAACTCCATGCTTCAAAAATAAACCAGGAAGAAAATAAAAATAAGAAATTCTCCGTAAAACTGGGTTTTATTTGGAAGTGAGTAAAACTGGGGGAGAAGGGAAGTCTTGAAATCTCTGTAGGAGTTACTTTTATATTTATAAAAGGAATTAATAGTTTAAACAGTGTAGTGATGCTAGTGGCAGACAAACATTTATTTTATTGCATATCACAGCCAGGGCTGTGTACTGACTTTTTTTTTTTTTTTTAAACATAAACATTCTGTGTATGTTTTCCCCACCACTGGGTTTTCTAAATAGCATGGTGGATGAAATGACTATACTGTATTTTTCAATACTTAAGAAGAGTGTTAATCTGAAAAAAAGGATATGAAAAAAAGGATATGACTCAAAGATCATGGATATCCAAATCTATTGCTTTAGTTCAGGCTCATTTCTAATTCTTTTTGTCAATCATCCAAAAGTAGAATGTGTGTATGGGTCTCTGGGCAGAGTTTGACAGATGGTCCATTTAAATATGAGTACTGAAAAGTAGAATAAGCTTTTCAATTTTTAAATACCATGTAAGGGGACAGCACAGGTTTTAGGGTCATATATGGCCTTTACTCTGTGTGTACATTTCTCATTGGCATCTGGGATCGAGGGTAGCATATGGCCCTTACTGCACAAGCTTCCCTGGCTTCAATCCTCTGGACTGCAATTCAGATTTCATAGCCAAAATTCTCCCGACACTATGCTCATTGAACTTGAACTTACCTACCCAGCTGGACTGGAATAGTACTGTTTGCCTTCTTCATATGGCTATGAAGAAAGTAACCTACATCCATTTTTTCCTAGATCTTCATAAGTAACTCGTTTAGATTAACTTCTGTCTTCTCTGCATCTTTGGCAATGCATGAGCCTTCTCACATCTCTCATGAAGGGGTACACACAAGTTCTAGAAAGCAGACCAGAGTTCATGTAGGTTTTGAATAAGAGAGCTGCAGATAATATCTTTGTTCAGATTTTCAGCTTAGCTGTCGTTACAAATGTTGATAAGAATGATCTGAAATGAAAAACCTTTTGGAATCTAAAAATTTGTGTTTAAAACTTTGTGACACTGATTTAAATGATTTCCTTCTTCCTCCATAGGTCACTGATATGATGCTTCAGGACAAGCCCTACCCTGACTGGGGGAAGTCTGCCAGAGCTTTCTGGAAGAAAGGAAATGTTAGGATCATTTTATTCTGGTAGGAAAACAGTAAAATCCTGAGCCTTGAATAGACTGAGCCTTGAATAGACATCCAAACCTCTGCCAAAGTACCCTCTAACGCTCTATGTCAGTGAAGAAATTTGAAGTGAATACATGATCAGAATAAAACTGGTAAAGGATTTAAGCTATATTTTCTAAAAAAATGTCAAACAATATTTGCCAGCCTGTTTAAAACAATTTTTATATGAATAAAAAAGCTTTACAGCAATTTAAATCCAGGCTGCACATGCATGCACACCCTCAAATAAGAATATATGACATATGAGCCAAATTTTAAAATTGCCTCAACCTGTCTTCCATTTTTTGTCCAGGCAATTGTGGGCACAGAAGTGTAGGAGCAAAATTGCTGGCACATATGATAACATTAAGATATCTCATTACATGTTTGTCCCTGTATGTAAGTTAACTAGACATCTAAATGCCCTCTCATGTGCTTGCAATTAAATGTGGTAATATTTTGCATGCACAATTTAATGTGAATGCAAAAATAGATTGGGCCCATAGATTTTTTTTTTTGAGAAAGAATATAAAAAATAGACAAGAAGTAAACCAGTATGGCTAAATAACAGGGTAAAAGAGTTATATGAACCAAAAGGTATACTTCACAAAATGTAATTCCAGTCCAGCCCAAATCATGCTAATAACAAGGAATATAAACTATGGCAGATAGAATGAAAAATGGAAACTAGGTGGTCTAAAAAGGAATTTGAAGAGCATATTGTCAAAGATATAAAAAGGACAATAAGACATTCTTCAGATATAGGAGGCCAATGAGAATATCAGTGAGTGCTATTCTAGCAAAGGGTAAAGGGAGAAATTCAGGAGGTTACGTTATAGAGAAGCTAAATGATTTCTTTGCATCAGTCCTCACCACAGAGGATACTGGGATACTTACTTTTTTCCAGATAATAAAGATGTGATACTGTAAAAAATGGGAGTGTCAAAAAGAGGAGACACCCAGGAGTTCTGGAATAACTTAAGAATGAAGGGGCCGAGCTAACAAAAATATGCACCTCTCATTAAAATCAAGCATACTGGAGGACTGAGGGTTAATAAATGTACTTGTTTTGTTATTTTGTTTTTTTAAAGTAATGCAATGGTTTCTGGCAATGACCAACCACTGACAGTTCAGTACCAGGTAATCTGATTGAAATGATAATTAAGAATTATTTTAATCTAAGGAGATATATATGATAAAAGAAACCAGCATAGTTTTTCTAAAGGAAAATAATCCCTCTCTGATCTATAAGAACTCTTTTTTGCATGTCAGGAAAATAGTAGATGAAGGAGAACTGGTGGATCTAATGTATTTGGATTTTCAAAAGGCCTTTGACAAAGTTCCTCTCACAAGGCAATTAAGAAAACTAATAAGTCATGGGGTGAGAGATAAAGCAGATTAGAAATTGGCTAAGAAATAGATAACAGAAAGAATAAGTCTTTTTTTGCCATGTTGCAAACTAAAAATGCAATGCCCCAAAATTCTGAACTAGGATTTGTATTTAACCATGACCTGGAGGAAGGATTGCACAGTAATATGGCAAAAATTGCAGATGACATAAAATCATTTAGGCTTGTCAAGACTCGAGCAGACTATGTGGGATGTAAGAATGCTAGGTGAATGGGCAGCAGAATTGCAGATGAAACTGATTGTTCACAAATGCAAGGCAATGTATATTGGAAGCAATAATGAGATTATATATATATAATCTTTTTGACCACTCCCACCTCTGAAACAGTGGTTTTCATTCTGCTGTCCACAATGGTCAAAAAGGCAAACACAATGCTAAAATATATATCTAGCAGGATAGAAAAGATCAAGTCATGACCTAAATCAATGGTATGCCTTCATCTGGAATGCAGTATTAAATTCTGGTCAATCTGTCTCATAAAATAGAGAGCCTCTGGTGAAGTGAAGTTAGTCATGAAGAGACTCTCATTTGAAAAAAGATTGAAAATACTGAGGCTAGTTAGGGGACAAGTAAGAAGTGCCATGGTAAAGATATTTTATTTTCAAAAGAGAGCATTGCAAGACACAGAGAGCAATCAAACGCTTTAAAAACAACAACAACAACCTTCGGTGTCCTTACAAAAGATGTTTTGAATTTTTTACAGGCCAAAACTGTATAAAGCCATATTTGCTTTCACATAACATTCACACTAAAATTGCCACAAAAAATTGAAAATAGAAATGGATTAAGTAAAAGATGTTTCTTTTCATGAATACGTTTTAAAATAAAGAGTGTTTTTAATGAGGACTCAAAAGCATAAAGGGCAACAAACTTTTATTTGTAGCTATCGGCAATGAAATAAAATCACCCTAGGCAAGACTCCATATTAAATAGAGACATTATTTATGTAGTATGTGTCACACATACAGTAACAGTAGACTTGTGTTTTTTCTTTTGAGGAGGAGAGAGAGAGAGAGGGGGAGAGGGAAGGCTAACTAAAATTATGTGTGGTAATATAAAGTATTAGTCTTTCTTTCTTTGATTTGTTTAGCGACTTGTGACATAAATGGGTTCATTTTGGTAAGCTGTCCAAAAGAAACATCCTAAATAGAAAATGCCACAGAAATATAGATGTAGTAGAATCTGCTTAATTAGTATTTCTAAATGGCACATCTCCTTAATTGGGATAAGTGTCAGTTTAGTGCGCTATCGTTTAGTTACTCAAAATAAGGGATAAATCACAAAGATGGCAGAATTTTAAATATCTCAGAAACCTAGGACTGAACACCAAATAGGTGTGCTATTCAATACCTGATGTACATGTGCAATTACAAAAATAGTGCAAATAAACTGGATATTTGAACAGGCAAATCACTGATAAGGGTCAGATCCTTCAAGGTGCCCCTTCATGGGCATCCTTTGTGCATATAGTTCATAGTGACATGATTACATACTATTTTTTCCACAGGTCACTAGTCTCATTCAGTGCATAGAATGGACACACAAGGGGAAAAAATTCCGGTCTCTCAGACAATTGTAAAACTGGTATTTCCTAACATTCGTGTGCCTAACTTGGAACCTATATAACTTTCTTATAATAGTTTTTGCATGTCATCTATCTAATTTTCTTTACATTTTAGCATTTTGGTTTTTTTAAACTAGATGTCATCTTAATTTGATTCAACAAGTTAGGAATATAGTTCAAAAAGAGTCAAAAAAGGTATGGCTTATTCAAAGGAATTGATCAAAAATTACTCAGTTACTACAGGAGACTATCTATTTTATGTTTAAAAAAGACTATGTTAAACATGGTTCAGTGTGGGATTTCTTACTATGTAAATGTGGGAGTTTCCATCTATTCGACATTGGTGAGGCTATTCGACATTGGTGAGGCCTCATCTGGAGTACTGTGTCCAGTTTTGGGCCCCACACTACAAGAAGGATGTGGATAAATTGGAGAGAGTCCAGCGAAGGGCAACAAAAATGATTAGGGGTCTAGAACACATGACTTATGAGGAGAGGCTGAGGGAGCTGGGATTGTTTAGCCTGCAGAAGAGAAGAATGAGGGGGGGATTTGATAGCTGCTTTCAACTACCTGAAAGGGGGTTCCAAAGAGGATGGCTCTAGACTGTTCTCAATGGTAGCAGATGACAGAACGAGGAGTAATGGTCTCAAGTTGCGGTGGGGGAGGTTTAGATTGGATATTAGGAAAAACTTTTTCACTAAGAGGGTGGTGAAACACTGGAATGCGTTACCTAGGGAGGTGGTAGAATCTCCTTCCTTAGAGGTTTTTAAGGTCAGGCTTGACAAAGCCCTGGCTGGGATGATTTAACTGGGAATTGGTCCTGCTTCGAGCAGGGGGGTTGGACTAGATGACCTTCAGGGGTCCCTTCCAACCCTGATATTCTATGATTCTATGATTCTATGATCTGAGATTGATAGCCATGTCTCCAGAATGGAAATTAAACATGGGCTTTTTAAATGGTTTTTCTGTGATGTGCCTAATTGAGGCTTTGACCTGATCAGCTGCATTTCAATATTTCTTGCTTTGCAGTAGTCACAATAATAAAATGCATTACTGGAGCATTACGTTGCTTTTACAGATTTGAAAGCGGTTCTTGTATTTGTTTGAAAAGACAACTTATTAAAATTAGTTATTTTCATTGTGCGCTGCATTTAAAAGAACTAAGTAGATTTCATAGCTTTGTCAGCTTAAATTAAATGCTGTCCTAGACAACACAACCCTTTCATTAAAGTTAAGATTTCTAAATTGCGTATCACAAAAACAAATGTAAACCAATACAAAGCAAAGAACTAGCTAGTTATGTTATTCACCTTCCCCCCGCCCCCATTTACTTCACTCATTAACTCTTTTTCTCATTCTAAATCAGTGTTTTCAATCAGGGGTACGTGTACCCCTGGGGGTACGCAGAGGGTACCGCAAGTCATCTAGATATTTGTCTAGTTTTACAACATGCTACATAAAAAGCACTAGCGAAGTCTGTACAAACTAAAATTTCATACAGACAATGACTTTATACTGCTCTATATACTGTGCACTGAAATTTATATTCCAATCGACTGATTTTATAACTATATGGTAAAAATGAGAAAGTAAGCACATTTTCAGTAATAGTGTGTTGTGACACTTTTGCATTTTTATGTCTGATTTTGTAAGCAAATAGTTTTAAAGTGAGGTGTAACTTGGGGGTACACAAGACAAATCAGGCTCCTGAAAGGGGTACAGTTGTCTTGAAAGGTTGAGAGCCACTGTTCTAAATCACTTATCTTCCATCACCGCAGTCCACGTATCAGTCAGCAGTAATTCCCTGAACAGACTAGCATTATATATCTGTAGCACTCCATCTTGCTAGCATCTGTTGATCTTGCTCAGAAACTGTTAAATGGGGTCTGCCAATTCACTGAGACAGCTGGGCGACTGATTACTCCGTGTGTAAATAAGGGAAGTGATTATGGCTCTCTGGGGAGAGAGGAGCTAGGATGGGGGTGAGAAGCGCTGAGAGAGGAA